TTTGGAATGTCCTGAAGAGGTTGGGGGAAGCTTGGACCTTTTTTGGGCTAATTTGTTATGACTCATACAGAGAGGCTGCATATCAGGTACAATTCCAACACTGCCAGTCCTGGAGAACGTGAAAGGTTATTTAAAACTACAGACAACAAGCTTAAAGATTCTTGTAGGCTGACCAGCCTCTCTCAAAATCTTCAATTTTAAATTGGCATGAAAAAAGGACCTTGGTTTATTTTGTATCTTTATTTTACCCCAACTTGAAATCTTAATCTCTCTTGTTACTAACTACAGAGAGGATATTTTAAGAAGGATGCATACAGCCAAATCCTATACATAGAATCTGTTTATGTACAATTATTCTTTGATTTAAAAAGGGAAGCAGGGGCAGAGGATGGGGGGGAAGCAGAGGGGAACAAGTACAACAAACTCAATATACCAACAAAATTTGCTTTGGTATACATGGACTTTTGTTCTCAATTCCCATTAATTAGTGTAGTATTTTAAAAGCCTGGCATAATAATTGTTCTGTTAGAATTCTGTCTTTATAACACAGTTCCTGATGTACAAGCAAGTAATCCCATTATTAAGCAGTTATTGTTCCTCTCATGATGATGGTTCCTAATGTGTCCATTACCATCAAGACAATCTCTGTTTGCACCAGGAAGTTAAGTGGCTAGATTTTAATTATGGCATTCTGTTAGTTGCTCCTAAAGTGAATAGACTTAATATGGCATGAAGACTTTTTGAACTTGGTAAATCAAAAGAAACTTTGATGAACAGAACAGTAATGTTTTGTAACATGCAAAGTAAGATTCTTTACACTGGTTTTTTTTGGAGAGAAACAGCCTTGTCAAGGCATTAAGCCCAAACTGTTGACTGTGAAAAGTGTTACCACCTGTGCTGTTGTTATCTTTATCTGGGGGAAAAAAAACTGTTTTCAAGTGCACCACTGGTGCCAGCACCCATGCTTGGGAGCTATGACAAAAGTACACAGAAGATAACTGACTTCCATCGTCCCTTAGTTTCCAAAGCTGTATTTGCACAATTTTAGAAAGGGAATGGTAAACACAGTGAGAATTCATGCAGTATTCATCCCCAACCTATGCTAAGGATAGTGGTTTGTATTATGGTTGGACCTAAATGCCTCTGCTGGGATCAAGGCCCCTCTGTGTTGTACACAGAGAACATATATTACCTAAAACAACCAATTCTTGTCATTCCAAGACCCAAAAACTTAGTGTAACAAACTATGGGAGGAAAGAGGTTATGAGGATGGGAAAAACATTACTAAACACAGTTTAATGTGATGAATTATTTAAAATGCTTTTAAAATGTCCCATCAATCTCTTTTTTTTTTTTTTTAATTTGGAGCCCCCAAATGCTACCATAATAGTATTGAAACTGGGATCTTATTGTGCTAGACACTATATAAATAGATGAACTAGCATAAAAAAAAAATGCCCACAGGCCTCACTTACACTGTAGCTTCTGCTGATGATACCAATGGCAGAGCTACAGTGTAGGTAAATAACAGTTATGAAATGTAGTAGAAAGAACATAGCCAAATATACTTTTTAAAGCATTAATGGTATTTTTCCAGCTTGTTTTGGCACTTGTGTATTTTTCAGTGCTGGTATGGCAGGAACACTTTCTGGAAAACACTTCCAGCAGTTCAGTTTCCTAAGGTGAGACCAAAGTGATCTCCTGTCCAAAAATTAGAAACTCGGGTTCAAACTATGCAGTCTTGTCTGACTGGTGAAAACTACTGTCTTCCAGTAGCCAAAACTTTTCTTATCTGTCCAGTTAAACCTACTGAAAGCAATTTAAAATAAAACATAAGGATAGTTCCAGCCTTTGCTTATCTCTGGTTCCATACAGGTTCAAAACTGGTTCTGTTGTATTACTTAAAAATGGTCTGAACTTGTCTACACTGGGAAATTACTAAATAAGGCTCTTAAGGTGAGAAAAAAGCGAATTCCCTTACTGCGATGTCCTGTGCCTCGCCTCTTTTCCAGATGCAGACTTGTTACTGTTGAACAAGAAAGTATTCTGCTTTTTTGCAGAGGGCATCATAACAGTCATTCATGTCCTGCTGCACTTGTCAAAGTTGCACATGGCCCTCCAGGGGACTGCAGGGAAGGAGGAAATACTGTTGTACTCTTATACTTCACTCTCAAAATGACTTATTAATCTTGATCAAAAGATGATAATCACTATTGCTTCCTAGTTAACTACTGATGAAAGTAGGTAAAATCATATGTTGTTAAAATCGCATATTTTAACTAATTACTAATAACGACCGTATAGATTTACACTTTTGCCTGCCTGTGTCAGCGAAGTACTCTCTATATTGCTTGTCTCATGAAATAACTTTCAGTGGCTTTTTAATGCTGTGTAATTTTGTGTTACACCTCTTAAATAATTGCCCATGAACCTTTCATAGAAAAAAACAATCTCTCTGGAGTACTTGATATATTGGAAACAAAGGGATCAGATCCACAGTCCACTGAGTCAATGGAAAGACATGCTTTGTTTCAGAAGGCTTTAAACCAGGTGCAGTGCCAAACCTGAGGAGCCTTGGTACATTTGTGCATGTATGTTTCATAGTTATATACATTGTCAATGTTAAGATTTGTATAGTGTGCTTGTTAAAATAAATGTGTAAATAAATGAACTGGAAAAGTTTCCAAGAAAAAAAAAAGTTCTTGGCTTTCGAAATGTAATTTTGTCTTTACATTTCTAGCTCACTTCTCATGCTGCAGAAGAAAACCACCGTAGCCAGCTCAGAGAAGATTCAGTGGCCACTTTTGCAGATGTGAGATGGGTTGTTCAAGAAGAAGGTGAAGTCTCTACAAGACTCAGGTGTGTTCCTCAAGTCAGCATAAAAAAGGCTCCCTCTGAATCAGATCTTGTTCTGGTGAAGTTATAGCATATTTAACTCAATTCTCTTGTGAATAGTAAAGGAACTAGGAGAGAAGAAATGGAAGGCAGGTTAACAGGATGGTGAATAGAAATGGGACTTGGGTCTACAGAAAGAGATGAATGCTGTTTTTCACTAGAAAAATTTAGTGTTGTAGGCACCTACAACATTATCCCTACAGTAATACAGAACCACTTCCAACGCTGTCATAATTTGACTTCCTTTAAGCAGGGTTTGCCATTTTGGGGCCATGCATTGGACAACTACATGCTAAAGACAGGCAAGGTTCTTTGAATAGATGATATAGCTTCTATTAGATCAACTAAGTAGTTGAGGGAAAGGTTCTTGGCAAGCTTTCAGGCGCAATCGCCCTTTTTCAGGCATAGAGTGTCTCTGCTGTTCTGAGACTCCAAGGAATGAGAGAAGCTAAAAGTGTCAGGATGTCAGTCAGAATGCCTGAAGAAGGGTGATGGCACCTGAAACCTTGCACAGAACCTTGTCTGCCTATGACCTTAGCTACAACCAAAAACCCAGCATGATAAAGAAGCACTAGTATTTTTTTCAGCTGTGGTATTGGTGGTTCTGACAATACAACAGTATTTAACATGCCTCTGGTCTCTCTGGTTAAGGCTCTGCACTTCAGAGCAGAAACCTATAAAAACAAAGGTTTGCTTTTAGTACTTAATTTTTAAAGGCACAGAATTAGACAGGGCAGTGAATGGGAAATAATTATAGGCACAGTATTTCTCTGCAGGGAGTTTTCTGTATTGTTAGAGCTTGCAAAGATCCTGTCCTGTTAGTTCAGCTACAATGGCATAGACTAACTAAATAAGAGATGCATAAGTTTGGTGCATTCAAGGCTTCCAGTTCCCTTAAGTAGCCACCTCTAATTCTTGGTAGAGTGGAAGACAAGAGATCGTTAGCTTTGTTCTCTGGAGGACACTACTACTGCTCTTTTTGAAAGCATGACATAAGTTAGTAATGACCTAAATACCCTCCAATATAACTTGCTACAGTAAAGCATTGCATAACAGGAATGTGTCTGAAATCCAATCCACTGTTAATCTTGTTAACTGAAAATAGAGAGGGAGAAATCAGCAACTTGTGGAGCGATAACCCCAGTAAATGCATTCAACACAAAGAATTGGCTTGTATTTTTGCTGGCCTGAGAATATTCTGTTTGAGTTGCATGGTCCAAAAGGGGAGAGTAGTTTGCTGCTGCTGCTTAAAGAATCACCTGCCAAAGAGCTGCAAGACTTGTGTTAATATCTCTATGGAAGAGAACTTGCTGAGAAACAGCCTGCAAACATGCGGACTCAAACTCAAAGACCAACGTTATAAAGGCAACAATGTTTATTAATTGGCAAAACAAATTTCAGATCCTGTCTCTTTCTCTGTACAAAACATTGTTTTAATTGTACTTGCAGCAGTAGAAACTTTTCCAAACACTCAGTGAGGACAATCTCTCATTCAAGAGGCTTGTATAAATAAGACATTTATTAACAATAATATTAATATGCTATAAAAGGAAAATGAGTCTGCATAAGGGAGTATTCTTTTTATGTAAAAACACTTTTTTAAAGGATGAGATCTCATTTTGACAGTGTAAAAAAAAAGCTGATTTATTGACATCTATGCAGCAAGTAGACCACAAATCATTTTTCCTCCTATACACTGTTAAAGCAATAGAATTGCATTTCAGTTATGGTCTTCTACAGTGGTAAATTCCAAATGTGCTGTATACATTCCAATAAATTTGATGTGCATCAAAGCAACTATAGTTTAAAATCAAATCCCCTTCAGAGTAGTATGTAAATAATGACTTGCTAAAACAATGGATTCGCATAAATTTAAGACTTCCAGTCATGGCTCTACTACAAGGGTAGGCAACGTTTTTTGGCCAGAGTGCCAAAAAACACCACAATGCCTACCTCAGAAGATGCTGGAATGCCAGCATGGCAGAAAAACAAAATGAGGGCAAGGGATACATGGCAGGATGCCCTGCTTGTGCCACTGCCCCCCAGCCCTACTGTCCCTTGCCCCCTACCCAAAGCCCCTGCCCCCCCAGCCTGGGCTCTGTGGCTACAAGCAACTATCCCAGCTCTGGGTAGCTGCTAGAGCCTGGGCTGCTCCCAGCAGGGTTTGCAGTGTCCCAGCTGCCTGCTGGGAGCAGCCTGGGATTCTGGCTGGCAGCAGCTCCCCAGGGCCAGCTACAGCCAGGAGGCTCCAAACAGCTGCGCCGGGCTCTGGCATCAGCTCCGGACCAGCATGTGCAGGCATGCCTCGGAGTAGGCGGTGGGGGAGGGGCCTGTAGCAGCGCAGCCTCCTGTCTCTCCCCCACTCCTGGCACGGAGGCGATGAGCCCAGCTGTTTGGAGGTAGCCCGGGCTCTGGGCAGCTGCAGCAAGCAGAGTGCATACAGCTCTGCCAGGCTGCACAACCCCGGCATCAGCTCCGTGCTGGCAGTGACTGCACATGCACCTCGGGGCAGACTGCGCTGCCCCACTGTCTGCCCCGAGGTGCACACGCAGTCGCCGCCAGCACGGATTTTTTTTGTTGCTGTTGTTCCAAGAATCGTGGAAAAATCTTGCATTTTCTCTTGGGGAACGTACAGCTGATTTTTCACATCGTTGTTAAAACTGTTAACAAATGTCTGAGTCCATAAAGTAACAATCATCCTCTCATGGTTAACAGCAGAGTCTGGATGGTGCAAGTGACTCAGAATAGGATTTAGAACATATTGTTTTTAGGGGATCTGCTTTCACTTAGCTGATAACACAGCTCCTGTCCACACAAATTTTACATTGAGCAAAGGTGTGTGTGTTGGAGAGGAGGGAAGGAATGGTTTTAAGGTTTTATGCTGCTGAAACTAGATCAGCTGGTCTTAATCTAGCCACTGTTCTGCTAATCATATAGTACATTTGAAGTGCATGGATAGGGACCTACCAAGTCCATGGGCCCTGGCATCCGATTACACAGTTGTAACATGGTCAGGGCCCCCAATTTCACAGCTGTATCATGACTAGGGCCGCCATTTTGAAGGTGGAGCAAAGCAGGTCCCCCATGCCTCTGACTGGCTGTGGGTTGCTGCAAATTCAACCCCTCAGGCATTAATTGAGAGCCCTAGCTGGAGCTGTCTGGTTTGTTAATTCAGTAATTATCACCCTCTTCAAGGGGTGGAGGGTGATAATTAATTACTGAGTAAACAAACAGTTGTTTAAGAATGGCAATTAAACAGTTCCCATACCCAATTGAAGTGCTACCTGGCTAAAATAAAGCCACAGAAACAATGAATTTGCTCTGCTCTGGTTGTCATCCTCCTCCCTGCCCACCCCTGCTTCAAGAGATAGACAGTCTGCTCCTTTCTTTTCTTTGCTCCCTTCTACCTCTTCCTGGTCTTCTAGGAGATAGCACAGAGATTCATAGATGTTAGAGTCAGAAGGGACCTCAATAGATCATCGAGTCCGACCCCCTGCATAAGCAGGAAAG